TGTTGTCTCCAAGATATCAAATAAATTGTTCATTAGGAGGAGTAAAATACACGTTGTACTCTTTTTCCCTAAGACAAAGTTTTGTCCCATTGGATTTTTCTGGTAAGGTTTTTAATGAGGCAACACTCAAGGCGTTTTACAAGATGTGTGTACTCTTTTTCCTTTTCTAGGTTTTTTCCCATTGGGTTTTTTCCTAGTAAAATTTTAACGAGGCACATTATCGATAAACATCCAAGGGGAATGTTACAAATTCATTTAATATGGATGTTTCTTCTCATCGACCTAATGTTATGCATGTCTTAATTTAAAGCAAAAATTAATGATTTCTGAAGTATTTTGGTTGAGGTAGTAAACGGATGATTTATACCTGATATAAAAGGGTCTTCTTCACCCTTAAGAAATACAACATTGAAGATATCAAAGAATACTTTTACTTAATATTTCTATTTGTCTTACCTCCTTGTTTTAGTATTACAATATTTTACTCTCATGTTACAACACTTTTGAGTTTATAAATAAAAATATTTTCCTGCAGTAATTTATAAAATATTAAAAATTAAATATTCACAGTCTTATGCTTAGTGCCTCGAAGCTTACTCCTCGCGCTACGTCGTCTCATGACTTTTATAACACTGATTAAAAAATTCTACAGATGTCACATCTTGCAAGATCATGTTGCTCCTCTGTCAAAATTAATCTCTTGAATTTTTGATTTTCCAATTATAATTAAAAAGTTGTCCCTTTAGGTCCACTGGAATATTAGGTTGAATAAGTCTTCCATAAAAGGATAAAGACTGAGACTTACAGGAATATTAATGGTGCTAAAACCACTATCTACAAGGCCATGATGCATTGATTCTAAAAGTTTCTATCACCATGTCTCTTTGGCAAAAGTGGATTTTGCTATCTAACTTGTGAAAAGTCTTTTGAGTTTTAGTTAAGGCAAAGACTTGATTTGATTCATACCTACTCGAATCACTTTCTAAAGTTAATGTGTGGACCTGAATTTTTTAATTTAGTTTATTTTATTTCTTATTGTAGTCTGACAATTTGGAAGATTTCCCTATTTTGTTTAATTATCTAAGATGTAAGGTAGCAATCTATAAATACATACAAAAACTATATTATAGAAATTATATTTTTTTTAAAAGGTGTGGTGCAATTAACTAGGACGCAATAGTCAATGGACAAAAAAAATCTACCATGGAGTTAGAGAAGAAAATTCTTTCGTAACCACTATAATTTAATCGAGACTATTTATTATATCATTATCACGATTCAAAAAGTCATGAGTGATAATCATACTAAACAATATGGTGGAAGAACCAAAGACCAGACCAAACTAAACCCAACATCCTTTTTATAAAACAAGTTCATCACATAAAGTAGTAAAAATAATTAAACAATTAAAGAATTAAGTCTTCATAAACTCAATCCACTAATCAAAATATCTATGCTAAAATAAAGTCTTAAGAACTCAAAGTCGTTGTATCAAAATTTTAATGTCTAAAATGAAGGAAATGTAAGCCCAGAGTATCTATTTTTTAGTTTTTACAACATACCTCCTTAAGTTGACGTTCCAAACTATCTCTTTAACATCAAATTCGATTTCGGAAGGTCTACTCGCCCAAATTCGATTTTGTGAAGTCCTAAAAATTTCTTAATATCTTAGCTACAAGAAAAATAACAACCAAGCCTAGACATTACTCCCCACTCCCCTCCCCAATTCTCGGATGTTCTTACACTGCACCAAGCATAGATTCCATCCGAGGTTGGCCTAGCCTAAAATTTTGTATGTCACCACTCTAAATGTTTTTTAGTCCAAATTCTTTCATTATTTGCTTAATCATAATGACCGTGAGGATTATTTCACTATAATATTTGGTTCTTCAATCTAAAATTTGGTAATCTGTATTATTAAAGTATTTAGAACAATTATTTTGAAAAACTTCGTAAAAACAACAAAGCTGAAAGAATATTTTCAAAATGAATAAACAAAAATTACATAATTTCATTAGTTTAAGGTATTCTTATAACTTTTAATTTAATTAGGAGAGATTTTTTGTGCTCAACTCCAAAATAAAAACTCTCAAACGCCTAAAAGTACTTTCACCACCAACAAATCACCCAATGAGTTTCTACTACACCCCGTCCTAATGTTTAGATTCACCACTTTAATGTAGTCTACTTCAGCATCGTTTTCTTTCCTATCTACAAATTTATTTGTATTTTTTTAAAATAAATTAGGACTTAAGATTATGGGTTCTGCATTTTAGAAAACACATCTTGCTAGATAATTTATTCATATTATATGTTAAGAGTTAATATCTCATATGGCCACTCAATTTTGAATAATGCATTTGAAAGTCACTTAGAGTAGTTTACTTATAAAGCCACTCAACTTTGTTTTGTAACTTCAAAGTCATTCAAGTATTAATATTTTACTTAGAAAGTCACTCAATTAGTTTAAAAAATTTTAATTATTAAATATTTTTTTTATTACAAATTTTTTTTGAACTAATTTTTATATAAAAGATAATATGCTAATTATAATTACTTGCGATAAGGTACAAGTAACGCTCTAGACTATGATCGAAATCTCATAGACACCTTAATTAAACTAAAGTGACTTTGATTTTGAATAGTTCTATAAAGGTTATATATAATACATAGATATTAGTAACACTAATAAAGCTCGAATAAAATCAAATTTATACTAATGTTAACCAAAAAATTAATTCAACGCTAATAATGATAATAATGTTGAATAATTTGTCTTTTAATTTTTTATTGCTTTAAACATTTAAAATACATAACCTATATTTAATTTATTTTAATGTTTAATCTTGTAATGAACACTTATTTAGACTTATTTTAGCACGATTTAATAATTTTAAATTATGATCATTTTCATTATGAATTATAACTTGCAAAATTTATTTTATGTGATTTCATTATTATATTTTGTTGAATATTTAGTATCATCACTTATCAGGGTTGTATTAATTTTGATTTAATTTATAAATCTAAAATTTCGCGACAAATAATCTAATAGTTGAAAAATCTAAACTAATTCTGTCATAAATAATAATTAAATGCACACATTTTTACCGAATAGGAACTATGTATATGTATGTGTTCCAAACCCATTACAAGAAAAGGCAAGCTTTAAAATTGTGCAAGTTGACTTAGTCAATCTGTAAATATGTATGGAACAAAAGAGAAAAGACATAAAAGAGATCATCGAAGTTGTCTCATATTTGCATAAAAATACCTAAACTTTTGAAGTGTCTCATCACCCCACTAAACAACTATATATCGTTGTAAATTAGTCAGTTTTACCCATTAACTCATCTGGGTTGTTTACACGCACGTTAGGCGCGTCATGGGTCATTTTTCCTTTTTATTTACCAGTTTAAAAACTGCCACTTGTCATTTTCTTTCTTTAATATTAATTGTTTAATTAATTTTTGTATCTTCCCGAATTTAAACTCAAAAATAGCCTTTGGTAGCCCTAAAATTTTGATTTTCATGGCAAGAACAATATTGGTTCTCTCTTTTTGACGACTTCATCATCTTCCTCAAGAAAGTAAGGTAGGAATTCGTCTTTTCTCTTCTAATTTCCAGTATAAACGTTAATTTGAAGTTTTTTTTATGGTTGAATTTCTTCTCAATTTTGTGGTTAGTTTTTGATTGAAAATGTCAAATGCAATGTTGAATCGTATTTGTAACAATGGCAACTGTAGGAGGTCGATTCTAACACTTCTACACTATAATAATCCATAAAATCAGAATAATCGAAAAAAGTGAAGATTTTAGAACCCTAACATGTTAGACCTTCAATCTCCAAGAATCTTCACAAATACACATCAACAACAATCAGCAATGATCAACAACGAGATTGTCAACAACAACACTGTGTATTTCGTTTGATTTTTTAGGGAAAAGTTGAGAAATGAAATGAAAAGGAGTTCACGAATTTTCTTCAAAAAAAAAAAGTCGGGTCGGGTTACCTAGAGAGTGAGCAACGCGCGCATTACATAGATGACGGAATGAGTAAAAATGGTCAAATTACAACGATATATAGTTGTTTAGTGGTGTTATAGGACACTTTAAAAGTTTAGGTGTCTTTATGCAAATATGGGACAACTTCGATGGTGTCTTTATGTCTTTTCTTTGGAACAAAACAAATCCTACTTATTTTCTCTCATATTATTCTTCACATTTTTCTTTAACATTTTTATTAAAAAAATTATATATTAAAATAACTTTTATACTTCATTCTTATATTTCATCAATAAATTGCGCTTTATATAAGTTACATTTGTAATATTGTTTGAACACATATTACAGTACTATATATATATATATATATATATATATATCATTTTATAGAATTAGAAATAAAAGTAACAAAAATACTTTCTCAAATTAGAAAAAGAAAGAAAATGTAACAATTAAAGATTTAGACCTTGCAAAAAAATAACAAATAACAATTATTTATTTTCTTAATTTACGTATTATTTTATTGTAATTTGAATTTTTTTTCTTAACTTTAGAGTACTATAAACAAAAAAGAGATAATAGCTAAGATTGAACAAAAAATAATTCTCTTTTTATATTTTTCAATAATATTTATCTATTTATAATATTAAATAAGAATTTGAATATGTATGTTTTAATTAATTAAATTAAAAATGTAATCAAAATTTTAGTATTAAATGTTTAAAATTATTTCTCCGTATAAAATAATCTTAATATTAGAAACACATTGATACTTGTCTTTTTTTTTTTTGTACTTAGACTTTAAAGCACTTTTTTTTAATAAAAAATTAGTCAAATATAAACTGCTTATCAAAAATACTTTTCAAATGAATGTGGTCAAAAAAAAAAAATTCTTTTTTGAAAAATACTTTTGTAAAAAACTATTTTATAAAATCGGTTCCAAATATAAGCAATTTTTAATAATAATATCAAACGGACTTTTAAGTTTCAGAGTGTGCTACAAAACTTGAGATACCATGTACTAAAGGCGATTCACATGTGAACAAATTACATACTTTCTAAGTTATTTAGAATCTCTTAAAAGTTGTCGTTATAATTTAAATAACTAAGATATATAATTGAACATCTCTATCTTCCTGAATTTAAACCATTTGAATATTTTTTTAGCTACATGACATATTATTTGTAATTCACGAAATTTAGGGGCGTGAAATGTATTTAGTTTTGTATTTTTGTTTGTAAAAGATGTTCTTCCTTCATCCTCACCTCTTTGCCATCACTCCATCCACCGCACCAGTTCGCGGCCGCAATCATACAACCTTCTTCTTCCTCTTTTTTCCTCCGATATTTTAGTTCTTCTCTTCCATCTGTTTTGTTTTTCTCCATCGCCATTCATAGTAGGATTAGTCGTATCGTCATTTCCACTGCCATGGCAACCATCATAATAGTTATTTTTATCATGTTAATTTGTAGAGGGATTGAAGTTTGGATTTTATTTTTGCTGTAAATGTAATGTTTTGGGGTTAAATTGATGTAGATTTGTATGACTTTGTTTGATTAATCAACTATAGAACTCAAAAGAAATTCGACAGTACTCAATTTTCCCCAATAATGTCATTGGATTTGGTTAATTTTCCGATGAAATTCGTTTCACTGTACAAAAAATTGAACGAAGAAGAAAGTTAACAAAAAGTTATATCCAATTTAGCATAAAGAAATCGACAAGAATTAATGTCTTGGAAAAATTTATCATCAATGAACCAAGAAAGTTAGATAATATTTTCTCAGTTTCAAAAAGATTGATTTAGTTTGACTTGAAATTAAATTTAAGAAAAGAAAAAAACTTTTTAATCTTGTGATTTTATTTGAATTTATGTCAAATTTACCAAAATATTTTTAATTTTGTAGTCTTAAACATGTCATGTGAAAAGTTAAAGTCAAAGTTATTAGAAAATAGCATACACAGCGGAAGCATTCCAGAATCATACATCTTGCATGAATATAATTAACAATCACAAATAGTTATCACATACAAAGTATGCTGAAAATTAACTCAGGATTACCTCTTGAAGCGTGTGCAGATATCTTGAAGTAAATCCAACTCCAGTTCTATAGTCTTCTACAGTGATCCCAATCAACAATTAAACTCACTCAATACTTGGGTGGGCAAGTATTGTATAGAATACTCTCTTAAATCTAGGTTAGAAAAATCCCTATTTATAGAGATGTCTTCCTAGTCCAAAGAGGAGAGGAAAATCCAATTCTTTTTCTTTTAGGAGAACTTGAAAACACACGTTTTCCTCCAAAGAAAAAGAAGGCTACTTTTCCATCTTCTACTAGAAAATAGGATTCTGAGTTCTAGTTAAATTTGGCACTAGAGGGACCACAGAATTTATTACTGAGGCTTCCTATTATGGAAATAATTCTAAATAATTAATTTAAATTATTTTTACCATAATAAATTACAAATCATTCCACTAAAAATTCGTAATTGAACTCCTCTATTTATTTCAAAATTCACCACTAAACACTTATTTGATTCCCCATGTTAAGATTACCAATACTAATCAATAAATTAAATTACTGACGAATTTAATTCAATGATTAACTTCTTTTAGAGCAATACTTAAATTATTTCATGTGCTAGATTCATAAATCTACCGGCCGGGTTTACACATGAAAACTTACAAGCTTCTCATAAAAGGTGTATCATCAATCTCTATACTGAGACATGGATTCTATCAACTAACTAATTATTTCACCAATTTATATTATTATCATCTAATCTACCAGGCATATTGACCCATCTCAGAATCTTACCTTTTAATAAACCAAAATGATAATTAATATATACAGATCATAATCGTTATATCAAGATTAAGAATATAAGTACATTTAATAGTTTCGAGAATATATTTTTATCAGTCAGTCTAAAACAACTATCTCTGCTTGGTCCCGTTCAATACATACCAAATGCACTAGCACGAGAAGTTAAAACTATGCCATTCTCATAATCAAGATAAATTACATTTAATCTCGTGCTACAATCTTTCTGATGATTTTGTCCAAATTTCCATCTATGATTGTGAACTATAAATTTTAACTTATAAGAACTGATGATTTAATCTTCTGTGTATAAGCTTAAACTCTATACACCAAATCATCTACTATATAAGTTAAGGACACATATATGATAATTGATCTATTTAATGTAACACTTTATTGAATTGAATAAATGAATAAACAATTGTTCAATATTAATACTATATCAAAACGCATGGTTAATAGTATATCCTAACAATCTCCCACTTAGACTTATAATCATGCACCCACAACTCTAACACCCATTCCTTCAACATGTCTATCAAAAGACTTTTGCGGTAAAGCTTTTATGAAAGGGTCTGCAAGGTTGTTCTCTGATGCAATCTTCGCCACCATCACATCCCCTCTCTGTACTATGTCTCGAATCAAATGGTATTTTTGCTCAATGTTTTTGCCTTCTTATGACTTTGTGGTTCCTTTGAATTTGCAACCGCTCCACTATTATCACAAAACATTGTAAGTGGCATTTCTATTGCAGGAACGACCGCCAAGTCTTTCAGAAAGTTTCTGAGCCACACTGCCTCCTTAGCTGCTTCAGAAGTTGCTACATATTCGGCTTCCATGGTAGAATTAGCAACACAGGTTTGCTTGATGCTTCTCCAAACAATGGCTCCACCTCCCAAAGTAAACACATTTCCTGAGGTCGACTTTCTAGAGTCCATATCAGACTGAAAATCTGAGTCTGTGTACCCTATGGGCACCAACTCATCCGAATGATAGACTAGCATGTAATCCCTAGTCCTTTTCAGGTACTTGATTATATGCTTAACTGCTGTCCAATGTTCTCGTCCAGGATTAGACTGATATCTGCTAACCATGCCTACGGCAAAACAAATGTCAGGTCTAGTGCATAACATGGCATACATGAGACTTCCTACCGCTGATGCATAAGGAACTGTCTTCATGCTTTCTGTTTCCTCATCTGTCTTAGGACATTGATCCTTAGATAAAGAAATTCCATGTCTAAAAGGAAGAAAACCTTTCTTGGAATCGTGCATGCTAAACCTGGTAAGAATTGTATCAATATAAAGAGCTTGAGATAAACCTAACATCCTTTTCTTGCGATCACGTAGAACCTTGATCCCAAGGATGTGAGCAGCTTCTCCCAAATCCTTCATATCAAAGTTTGTGGACAACCATTTCTTAACTGAATTCATCAAACCCACATTATTTCCTATGCGCAAGATATCATCTACATATAATACCAAAAACACCACTTTATCCCAATTCCACATTTTGTACACATAAGACTCATCAAGAAATTGCTCAAAACCAAAAGACTTGACTGCATTGTCGAAGCAAGTGTTCCATGCCCTAGAAGCTTGCTTTAATCCATAAATAGATCTTTTAAGCTTGCACAACATGTGTTCTTTTCCTTTTTCTATGAAACCATCTGGTTGTCGCATAAATATGCTTTCATCAAGACTTCCATTAAGGAAAGCTGTCTTGACATCCATTTGCCAAATCTCATAATCATAATGAGCAGCAATGGATAAGAGAATTCTAATAGACTTAAGCATGACTACTGGCGAAAAAGTTTCCTCATAGTCGATCCCTTCTTTCTGAGTAAACCCTTTTGCAACAAGTCTAGCTTTGTAAGTTTGCACTTGTCCATCTACTCCTCTCTTTTTCTTATATATCCACTTGCATCCAATAGGTTTGACTCCATCTACAGGTGGTTCTACAAGATCCCAGACTTTGTTAGAGTACATACACTCCATTTCTGATTTCATAGCAACAATCCATTTTTCTGCATCTTTATCTTGTAGTGCTTCGTCGTAATTCACAGGTTCGGTATTCGACTCTTCAGGGATTCTGTCAAAAGACTCTCCCAAGAGTGCATACCGAAGTGGTTTTCTTATCACTCTCCCACTACGACGAGACACTACAGTTGCAGGGGCAGGTTCAGAGAGATTTGCATTATTATGATCTTGTGGTGGAACCACATCATTTTTAGGATCTTGAGTTTCCATGTTATCTTCAGTATCTTGCGGTGCAGAGATATGAACAACTTCTTCCTCTAATGCAATCTGCTCATTATTACTCCCACTACCTTCATGCAATGAATTTTCAAGATCTTGTACTTGCAGAATTTTATGTTTGTTAACATCTCTCCCACTATTATAATGCAATGGTATGTTAACTCTAACATGTGGGGTTTGAATTTGGTTTTCATTATTTTTAGTAGATTGATTTGTTTTCTCTTTGCTCAATTCCTGTAAAACTAGTTTACTTCTAGGAATATGGTTTGTTAAAAAATCCGTTTCCAGAAACTTGGCATTGGTAGACACAATGACCTTCTTTTCTTTAGGATTATAAAACATACCACCTTTCGTTCCTTTAGGGTATCCAATAAAAACACATACTTCTGTTTTAGGTTCCAATTTTTCTGCCTTCCCTTTTAATACATGTGTTGGACATCCCCAAACCCGAATATGTCTCAAACTAGGTTTGTGCCCAGTCCACAGTTCAATGGGTGTCAAAGGAACAGATTTAGAAGGAACTAAGTTCAGAATGTAATTTGCAGTTTCTATGGCATATCCCCAAAACGAATGCGGCAAATCAGAGTAACTCATCATTGATCTAACTATTTCTAAAAGAGTTCTATTTCTTCTTTCTGCTACACTATTTTGTTGTGGCGTTCTAGGTGCAGACATTTGAGATGTAATTCCTTGTTCTGATAAGTAACTAATAAAATCATTAGAGAGGTATTCGCCACCACGATCAGATCGCAATGACTTGATATATATTCCATATCGTTTCTCTGTTTCAGCCTTAAACTCTTTGAATTTATCAAAGCATTCAGACTTACGACGCAACAAATATATATATATATATATATCCATATTTTGAGTAGTCATCAATGAAGGTCACGAAGTACTCATACCCACCTCTTGCTTGAATGTTCATTGGGCCACACAAATCAGAATGAATTAACTCTAGTTTATCATTGACTCTATTTCCTTTTGAGGGAAAAGGTCTCTTAGTCATTTTTCCTTCTAAACAAGATTCACATGTTGGTAGTGTCTCCACTTTTGATGAACCTAAAGGTCCATCTCGAACCAACCTTGAAATCCTATCTAGATTTATATGACATAGACGCAAGTGCCATAGATAAGTCTCATTAAAATCAGAAGAACGTTTTCTTTTACTTTAAAGGTTAACATTATTCAATTCTACGATTTGTTGCAGTTCTGGAGAGACATTAATAATAAAAAGACCATCAATCAATGTACCAGCAGAGACAAGATGTTTATTATAACTTATAACACAACCGTTATCAGAAAAACTAACATCATAACCATCTCTCAAAACTTTAGAAACTGAAATCAAATTTCTTCTAACAGCAGGTGCATATAGAACGTCTTTTAAAATTAAAACTCTACCACTATTAAACGAAAAAGTAATATTTCCTAATGCTAAAACTGGAGCTGCAGAGCCATCTGCTTGAAAAATGCTAACTTCACCTCTAATCAGCTTGTGCGTTTCTAGAAACCCCTGCATAGTAGTGCAGATATGATCAGTGGCTCCTAAATCTACACACCATGAAGTGGTAGAAACAACCGCTAAAAATGTTTCAACGACAAGTGAAAGTGAGTTACCTGGTTTGTTTTTCTTCTTGGCTAAGAAATCTGGACAATGTGCCTTCCAATGACCTGACATCTTGCAATGAAAACACTTACCCTTAGACTTTTTCACTCCCCCAGTTGGAGGTGCAGTTGCCTTAGCTTTGTGAGCCTTTTTCTTCTGTTGTCCACCTTGCGGTTTAGAAGTAGAACCTTTCTCAACATTAAGTGCCATTGATGGTGCATGTTTTTTGACAAGGGTTTCTGTCGCCTGTAGCTCATTCAACAATTGTGCCAAAGATAAACTCATCTTATTCATATTATAATTTAGGCAAAATTGTTGAAAACTATCAGGCAGAGACGCAATATCATCTCAACTTGGGAGTCATTGTCAATTTCAGCCCCCAAAACCTCTAGTTCATTCAGAAGACCTATCATCTTCAGAACATGGTCTCTTACAGGAGTGCCTTCAACCATCTTAGTGTTCATGAGAGTTCTCATGGCAGTCTGCTTAGCTGATCGACCCTGGTCTCCAAACATTTGTTTGAGATTCTCCAGAATTTCAAAAGCAGACAACAT